ACCGCAGTTCAAAATATATGAACTTCATATATTCATTGTATCTGATTTATCATCACGGGTTTATTACGAATCAACTTAACGGCCTGCTCCCAGTTGGCTTGTTAGCTCAATTGGTAGAGCGCTGCACTAGTATCGCAGAGGTCAGTGGTTCGAATCCCGTACAGGCCTGATTTTTTTCAGGTCTGATTTTCGCTATTGCATAAATAGCGCTCTCTACTGCGAGGATCGTGCATCATACGTATCTACAACCGCAGTTCAAAATATATGAACTTCATATATTCATTGTATCTGATTTATCATCACGGGTTTATTACGAATCAACTTAACGGCCTGCTCCCAGTTGGCTTGTTAGCTCAATTGGTAGAGCGCTGCACTAGTATCGCAGAGGTCAGTGGTTCGAATCCCGTACAGGCCTGATTTTTTTCAGGTCTGATTTTCGCTATTGCATAAATAGCGCTATCTACTGCGAAGGATCGTGCATCATACGTATTTAATACCGCAGTTCAAAATATATGAATTTCATATATTCATTGAAAGTGAACATTGTCGCATTTGGGCATTACTAGGAGTCTAGTACCTTCCTTTAGTTATTCTGGATACGTCCTTTAGAAATGTGACAGTTCCTGGATCATTGCAATTAAAAGACACAACGTGAATAGGTACACGACTTCCTTGTATCTGCAAAATAGAAAATGAATCAAATATTACTCTTACATGTAGTTATCACCGGTGGCGCAGGTTCAATTCCAAGACCCGAAGCCACAATTTGGTTGGAATTTAAGTTTCATCCTTGCCCTGAGGGATTTCTCAGAATTTTTCCTGTATTCTCTCCAGTGTAAAATGGACTCTTCAAGTCCTAGTAAAACCTGACAGATACTGGTGAATGAAGAACCACTCAGTTTATTTCCCTTAGTCTGCAAAATCCTAATGATGAATTCTATCATTAACACCCTTGATCATTTGATCTATTTACTCTCGTGACCAACCATGCTGATGTAAAATACAGACACCTAAACGTAGCTGCAGGTTGTAGGCCTGTGTGGTCTGTTTTGTGAAATTCTTGGTATGCCGTTTCAGAACAAAATACAGTAAGAAATCCCCACCCTATTTCAACAACTGTTTTGCAGTCTTCCTACCTTTCTCTTAAGCATTTCCTGAGATCCATTTGAAGCATTTCCCTCAGTAAAAAGGTAAACAGCTTCAATCTAATGACAAGGAAAAAAAAATGGTTAAACTTTTTAACTTGAAATTACAGTAACTATGAGTTCCTCAAATTCAAACTGCACCAGACAGCGACGATGCACTTTTAGAGTTTATTGTCACAAGAAAAAAACTAACATGTTGATCAGCCAATCCTTTAAGAATTCCTTCTACTGTACAAGTTGCTGAGTGTGGAACTGTCGTCTTCAAGTCCCAGAGCCAATTCAGAGCTCCTTCCATGCTGTCAAGAGTAACATTTACAGCATGCTCCTGCCAACAATCTGAGTCCATCGCACACCTAAAGTTGAAGAAAAGAAACACTGCTGAATACTCTTTCCTTAGCTAATCTTCACATTTGCAAACACAGTCTGAAAGTCTGTTAAATATTTTTCAATTTTTGATTCGAATGAATATAGTTACCTGATAAGGTTAAACTTTGCAATAAACATTACTTGTTCCTTGAGCACTTGTACCAGACCATGAAGATACGTGCTGAATTCAGATTCACTGGTAGTATTTACATCCAGCACAATGCATATGCAACGTTCTTCTATGACTCCAAACACTCTGCGACTATAAGTTAGACAAAGATCTCCTAAATTAATTATTTATTAACCCTTTAACTACTAAGTCAGAGTGACTAGAATCTAATTTCTCCTTCCAATATAACCCCTGAATCACACATTAAGGTCACAAGAATAAATAAAGTGATGACCAGCCAGAGAGGCTCTTGATTGTTAAAAAAATTCTCCTGGTCAGAACCTTAGAAAATGTATAGAGTACAGTATGGAGAATATGCAGACTGATGTTAGGGACTGTAAAAGATTAAAACAGTCAGTAATTGTTTCATGTTAACTTTAGAACTGATCATATTTGAACTATGTGTACAACCTAAGGAGGGCCTAAAAACTGAAAAGTAAACTTTGTTGTTATTATTAATTAGTAAAATAGTAGATTAAAATTTTACAATATTTTTCCATAGTTTAGTGCATTGCTTGGATGGTCATTTACCTTTCAGTTGTTAACCACTCAAGTCGTCGCTTGTAAAGTGATATGGCTTGCTTAAGTTGACTTTCTATCCTGCGGAGTTTCTCCTTACTGGCAACAAGCTGTCAAAGACATACATTTTTTCCATTTTTGAAATCCCAAAAAACAGTCTTGATAAATTTTACTTAATAGGTTCCTCAAGGATTTCCAAACCAGGCAGAGATCCTGAGGCTAATTGTTCAAATTTCAGCTTGGTCAACTGGGCTGCAGAGAACTTTTAGAAGAAAGAGCACAAACATACAATGTACTTCTGTCAGTTCTGTCATTTAAATCCTCTAACCCCTTGGAGTGACTTGTCAGCTTCTAATTTCTCCTTACAATATCACCCCTGAATCAAACATTAAGGTCAGGAGAATAAAGGAAATGATCACCAACTAAAGAAGCGCTTGATTGTTAAACAAATTCTCCTTGTCAACACCTTTGGAAATGTATAGAGAACAGTATGGAGAATATGCAAACTGAAGATAGGATGTAAAAAGGGTTGATATAGGACAAGAATCCAACATACAGTTAGGACCAGCAGTGTTGAAAGCCTTACAATAGATCAAGAAGATTCTTACATTGTACACTGAGCCATCTCTGAAGGGAACCTGGGTAAACAGTCCCTTACAATACCTTGCACGAACTGGTTTCTTAAGAGGCCTTACATAATCTGGGGAGAAAACAACAAGTTTAGAATATAATTTTACATCATTTAATCAATAGAATATGAATGTAGGTCATGTGATTTTGAATCAAGTTGTATTTTCACCTAGTAAACAATCACTATAAGCAAAATGGCATGAGCCCTCTAAAAATTGACATCTTCCCTGCTCTGTTGATATTAGCACCCAACTTAAGTACAGGGAAGCATAGGTTCCAATCCCTTTCAAGCATGAATTTTTTCAGGCTTCTTTTCCACATTTTCTTAAATTGCAGTACACATGCAAGTATAATTTCTTGGCTTGTGTTTAGTCAGCACATAACCCCAGCATGAGGACTACCACCCCCCCAGAATAAGCTAGTAAATGATTGCAGTTTATCCCATCACTAGAATTTCATCTAGCTTTCATTGCACTTTTCTGTCACTCATTTATACTGCCAAGAGGAAAAAAGGCACCGTGGTAGTAATATGTTGCTCTAGATTGTTACTTAGTGGCCCAACCAGTGATCAAACCTGCCTCTCTTCTGGTGGATCAGCCCTGAGTACCTAAACCACCAAGGGGCTTTATAACTTGGTAAATTATAGCAGGAAATTTTAAATAAAGAAATTCATGAAATACCATCTGAATGCCTAAATCCAATGGAAGGCAATATTTGTCCCATGTCAAGTTTGTGTCTTTTGAGGCCATGGATCTAGAGAAAAAATTAAGATGTACAGTAATGTTAAAAAACCTATGGGAGAGATCATCACATCTAGAGTGACTCTACATGATCGATTATGTTGATCTCAGTCATTTTATTATCAAATGTATATTCAGAATTAATTGTGATAAAAAACATACCTTAAGCCATTGAGATGTTGAAAGGAGCATGCGCACATCAGGTTCCCACCTTGCTGTGTTTGGGGAATTCAAGCGTTCACTTTTAGATGGAGCAGCTGAGTCAAGATTTCCATTGCGATCATAGTGATCCTTGGAAACAGGAGTCGCTGCTTGCTTAGTCTGTCTTGCACCTTCAACTGGACCTTTTTAATATTTGTAAATAAAGATAAATTTAACAGCTACTTTAAACATAATATGTAAAAATTACTTTTCCTTTGAAACAAATTAAGTTGATGAATAACATTGAATCAAAAATAATTTAATCCTTTGGCAGTCCAAATTGAAGGCTCTTGTAAGGTAAGGAAAGTCACAAGGAAAGCCACTTACTGGACATGACTTACAAAAATAATTATTCAAGACATACCAAATAACCACAGAACGCACACACTTGTTTCACTTTTTTATTTTTTATCATTGGCAAGTTAAAACCATAGGACAAAAATTCAAAAGCTCAAACAACGAGATGAACAAAGGATTGCTAACAAGGAGCAAACACCATGACTGTGAACGATAAAGCTTAATGATAATTATAATGAGAATGGAAGTTCGAATTTCATAAGCATCCCAAGTTAGAAAGCTTGCAGGGTTCTTATGACATTTCTGACACCAAATATTGTAATAACTATTCGTTTACCACTATTCACAGATAGTATGAACTCAATGACTAGACTCTCAAAGTGATAAAACTTAAAATTGATCTCGTCTTTGCAATGTAAACATAATTAAATGTAACACACAATCAAAATGCGTTCTTACCAGCTCCCGATCCGCTCCCGTGAGTATGGCGAAAATTTTCGTACATCATAGTCCTAACTTCTGCCTTGCTTCATGCAAACATGATAACCGTGATTACAAATCCACCGGATGAAGAATCCGATTCCATCACCTTGGTTGAATTTATGTATTCTCCTGTTGCTACACAAACGCTGTCTCCATCGTACTCCACTTCCTCAACCAATCAAGTATCAGAATTTTTATCATGTGACTAAATTCCAGCGGTTTCGTTGGTAAATAAGATATATGTTATGTATGCATATTCATTTTGTCATTCATTCAATAAGGATCAATATTAAGTAGATCACGTTGGTTTGGTTACAAATTGACTCTAAACTGTGACAAATCCAATATAGCAGCAGAAGCTTAAGAGATCGCGACAACTCAAACGAGAAGACGAGATACAACAATTAAGATTGGTATGTACAAAACAATTGAGTGTGTTTTTTCTCTCGGTTGATTCCTTTCATTCTTAAGGCTTGGATTTTTAAAATGTCAACTTCTTCGTCGCTCGCTCTATTCAACCTGTTCTCATTTTCCATATCCTTGCCATTTTCATGCTAACTTTTTTTCTTTTTTGATATCTCAGCCTTTAGTAAATCATTATTTTATTACTCATTCTCAGCGTGAGTGTATTGGCCCTCATCTTGCTCGTTTGTTTAGACGTAATGGATTTCGACCGCGTTCATTCACAAGAAAGCTCTCCTCAACTCGACGACGAAACATACAAGTTCGAGGCTGGTAGTAAGCATGGAATTAAAGCTCTTATGATGATGGACGACTTAAGAAAACGTCAGCAGCTATGCGATGTTACGATCTGCGTGGGAAACAAACAACTGCCCGTGCATCGCATAGTTTTATCCTCATTTAGTTGTTATTTCCTCACCATGTTTACCAGCGGTATGGCCGAGAGCTATGAGGAAAGTATAACCATTAACGATGTCGATTGTAGAGCTGTTGAACTTCTCATCGATTATGCTTACACCGGAAAGCTCGATATCACAGTGGACACGGTTCAGTCTCTGCTCTTTGCAAGCTCATTATTTCAAGTGTCCGCAATCCAGAAAGCTTGTTCAGATTTTCTACATCGACAACTTCACCCTTCAAATTGTTTAGGGATCCGTTCGTTTGCCGATACACATTCCTGCACTGGATTGTTTAAAGCATCGGAGAAATACATACACGAGCATTTTAACGACGTAGTACAGAACGAAGAATTTCTGCTTCTCCCTCCCAACGAGTTGGCCTTGTTGTTGACCTGTGAAGATCTAAATGTGAATTCTGAGGAGGACGTGTACAACGCGTTGATTGCATGGGCGAGGGAAAATGTTGAGGAGAGGCAATCGTTCTTAGCTGAGCTTCTTGGAAAAGTTCGCCTGCCGTCGCTCTCACCTCACTTTCTAGTGGATCAAGTGGAAAAAGAAGACCTTATTCGTCAAGACATCGCATGCAGGAATCTTTTAGACGAAGCAAAGAATTTTCACATGCTTCCCGATAGGAGAAGCAAGCTCAGAGGTGAAAAATCGCGACCAAGAAGATCTACCTACGGAAGTTTATACAGTGTTTGTGGAATGGACTCGACAGGTCATCCTGTGAAAACTGTGGAAAAGTATGACTTCCACAGTGGCAAGGTGAAGTTGGTTACACCTGTCAACACTCCTCGCAGTGGAGTGGGTGTTGCTGTACTTGATGGAAAGATATATGCTGTAGGCGGTCATGATGGAACAACCTATCTGAATAGGTTAGTGTGATGTCAATTTAACTAACGTATCCAATGACCATTTGGATATATTTGATATCTGGTCAACTTACTGTCCTCTCAGAAAAAATCATCTGACCAAGAGAGGGGGGAGAGTGTAAACCAAAAGGTGACAACTTGTCATGTGAAATATTAATGAACCACAGCACTCCAAGCACCGTTTGGGTGTCATGTTGGCTTTAAAAAAAGTTTGGATAACTAAATGTGCAGTGCTGGTCCCCAATACCATCACCAGTGTTTGTCACTCAAATAATGAGCTGTAGTATGTTCGTGGTGTATTCTTACACTTTTATTACAAAGAGGTATATTTTCATAATATAACGCTCATGGTCCATCCTTTTCTTACATAAAAATGTGCCCCCCTTTTTCTTAGGCCACTCAAGTGTTAAAGCCTTGAAATGTTGCATGAATCTATTGTCAGCCATATTGGACCATTATTGTTTACTTCAAAGACATGTGGTGTGTTCAGTGGTTGAAAAGAAAAGAAAATTATTGGGTCAACAGTTGGTGACTGAAAAAGTTGAATATTTGATTTTATCAAACTACACCTAGACAAGTACAAATAACGCCATAGACGAGTACAAATATCACACGGTATTTGTACTAGTCTATTGTAGAGTACTGGTTAAACAGGTTTTCTCGCATCGCGCAATCAAAGAATTGGATTGTAGTTACGAAAAAAAAACAACTGGCTGACAATTTGAATCATATTTCTGACGACAAAGAGTCAGAATGGCTGGCAAATATAGATCCAAGTTCATTAGATGAATTGAACGAAGAAAAACAGCTTGACAACCAGAAATCTTCTTCATTTAATGAAGAAAATAGAAACAGCAACACAACAACACGCCAATTCCATTCCGCTTTGCATACTTCTGTCACGCACTCCCCGTAAATAAATATCTGCGAAATTCGCCCGCAGAAACAACAGTTTGGTGTGTTGGATAATAAATAACTTATTAGACATTTTGTTGTGTAGTATCGCTGAGTATTTTTACTCATTATTTGTATTTTACTCGCCCTACGGGCTCGTCAAAATACGACACAATTCGTAAAAATACTCAGCAATACTACACAACAAAACGTCTAATAAGATATATATCTTCCTATTCTCATGCTATGTATTGTTACTTTCCCAGTAAATAGAGGATGCTTCATCACAAGGTTATAAAGTCATTGTACTCGTGTCCCCTGACTTTTTAACAATTGAAAATAACATTTTTAATGTAAATCAAAGTAATTGGAGAAGGCTTATGTGTTTTATGCATGGATGGTTCCAGAATTTCTGAAATATTTTTTCTCTTTAGTGTGGAATGCTATGATATCAGGACAAAGCAATGGAAGTATGTTGCATCCATGGCTCATCCGCGTCGTTATGTTGCAGCCGCAGCCTTGGATGGCCTTCTGTATGCTGTCGGTGGCTATGATGGTTTTTCAGTTCTTGACTCTGTTGAAGTGTATGATCCCAGGCTGGACCAATGGAAACCTGTTACTAATATGGCCAATCCCAGAAGACATGTTGCTGTGGGTGTTTTGGATACAAAGGATTCAAACAGAGACAGTTCTGAACCAGGTATAAATACATGCAACAATATGCTTTTTAGTAAAAAAAAAAACACTCCTCTATTACTTAGTAGTTTGTCTGTGGTCCCCTGGATCACATTAGAGAGCTGTTATCTTCTAATACAAATCTTCTTCCCTTCCAACCTTTTACAATTATAATAGTTCATACAAATATTGGTCGCAAAAAGTCAACATCCCTTGGTTTTTCACTGTTTGCAAAATTAGAAGGTCAGTTTGGGATATACAATGTAGTATATGTATGTGGGTTTATTAATCTATTTTTATTGGAAAAATACCTCCAAAATGGTCAAGTTCAAATACATGAGCACAACAGTCTGGCCTCACTTACCAAATAGTGGTTATATGTAGCTCAAACTGTATCCAAAAAAATCAGTGATTTGGGTTTTTGACTGCAAAAGAGAGCTGTGCATCCTCTTGTTAGTGTTCCAGGGTTATTCCCAGCATGATATAATTATTAGTTCAACTTTGAGAGGATAAAGTTTTGCTTCTGATTTAAAGAAGTTTGCTCCTATCCTTGAAGTTGACATGTGTTTGCCTTGTACACTTATAGGGTATCTGTATGCTGTTGGCGGTCATGATGGAATCAACTACTTAAAAACAGTAGAGAAGTACAACCCAGAGACAAATGAATGGACTTGTGTGGCATCCATGGGTGCACGGAGGGGTGGAGTGGGCGTGGCAACTCTTGGAGGATGTTTGTATGCTACTGGGGGCTATGATGGAGCCTCTAACCTGAATACATCGGGTAAGGTGAAATACTTGGAAAAATTTTTTTGTCTCCATAACATGTTTATGTGAAAAAAGGGAATCAACACATAGTGTTACATGGAAATGGTTACCGAAAAGAAAGGAGAGGGCTTATTAGATGTTGGGAGTTGGGGGTTAGGCGTTATAGTTTGTCTGCTTTCATTTATTTATTTATCATTTTATCTATTTATCAACCATATTTTAGCAGAGATGACCAGTTCAGCATATGCTGGTTTAAATGGGGCTCTGCAAACCCACCCATCCCACCCCAGGGGAGGACATCCATCACACAGTAATCTTGTGTGTGGGAAATTAACATCTCCTACCCCTAACCCTGCAGGAGACGGGACCACCATTTATTCGTCGCTATCTGAGAAGACTAGAATATCTAATCATTTCTTGATGTTATAGAAAGGTAGCATATTCTTCTCAATTATTTTTAAGACCTCGAGTGTTGGTCCGGCAGGGGCTCGAACCCTCGACCTCCCGCACAACAGTCTAGCGCTCTATCCATTGAGCTAACCGAGAGGTGGTTAACTGCATCATCCTCTTTCATGGAGACTTTTTGCTTTGTAGTAAATATTTATTCAATCTTCCGTTCTTTGTATTTTTTTTTTTTCTCCAGAACGCTATTACCCAGAGGAAGATAGATGGGCATTTGTGGCTCCCATGAGTGTATGTCGCAGTGGACATGGTGTAGGAGTTGTCAATGGTTGTCTGTATGCTCTGGGTGGCCACGATGGAGTGTCGTACCGAAACAAAGTAGAATACTTCAACCCTCAAGTTGGTGAATGGACGGCTGTTGGCCTTATGGGAAGTAGCAAAGCTGTTGCAGGTGTTGCTGTCTTAAAAGAATACTAGACTCTTTGCCTTGAGTCATTCAACTATATTTCAGAAATTTTTGTTCTTCATAAATGAAATGAATTCATCATGCTATGCATGTGATGTTTTGAGGAGAAATTTATTTTATTATTAATTTATGAATATTTCATAATTTATGAATAATTTCACATTCATTTGGCACATTTGCAAAGATGATGTGACCATCATTTAAATGATTTAGTATCATTTAGGATTAACAACCCATAGGTGAAGGGGGGGTATTTCCATTTTCAATTGCCACTGTCATTTTGTTTTAACCCTTCAGCTCTCAAGATCTCATATTAGCAATTCTCCTCACTGTTTGCTAAACAATTCTTGTAATATTAGTTTGGAGAATTTGGTATTGGATCAACTCACGATCCCCTTGTTCATATTTTTCTCTATTCTCTACACTCGTCTGCTTGATATTGTATTGAAGTTGTAGGGAGAAATTCTGTCTTGGTCACTCATAGAAGCAAAAGGATTAATGCTCCACTAGCCTGGGAAGGGAACTTGTTGTGTAACATTTAAAACTGCATCTATGAAGGAGACCAAAACATTTACAGCCTAGTCATGACTTACGCAGGTGTAAAAGATTCTAATCAGCACACACAAACAAGGATTGGCTGCTGGGTAAACTAAGCATTGAAAAGTTCCCTTTTTAATAATAGGTTTAGGTTTATTCAAAATTATCAGTTCTAGAAGTCTGTTCTACTAACTTAAAACAGACTCCCCTAAACAGATGTCAACAACTACCCGCCCATACAAACGACTCATTCACGACATAAACATCACAAACGACCGAAAAAGAGCGACCTAACTTTACCGACAGATCGAAACAGACCAATCACGACCGACTTACATCACTTGAGTCTTACAGCCAATAACATCACAGCAAAACCAACCGATCATTTCACACGAACTGGAATAAGAACATTCTACTGACAACAATCATTCACTTGACTCTGATGATGACTTCCGCACAGGTTGTCGAAACCTCAGTCACTACCACCGACAACAGTCCTTCTCAGGACTACGCTCACCCGGACGGTCAGATCTATACATGTATCTACAACTAACACTTCATTAGGATTTGAATTTGTTTACATCTTAGTATAAACCAGACATAACCAAGATATCATGCCTTATCTCCTTGAATAAGTGCCTTTCCCTGAATAAGCACCCACCCCTTATGCCATGATATCAGACAAACATCCCCTCCTGCCTCACTTTCTTTAATATCAGGGATACAAAGAAATCCTGCTTCTAATGGCACTTAATTAATAACTTTTAAGCACAGGTTCATTATTTTTTAACAAGCACCTCCCTGGGTTAAGTGCCTTCCATCCAATAAATGCCACTGCTGCCCCTGCCCCCACCCTCCCCCCCCTCTAGGTAAAATTTTAAACAAGTGCCTGGCACTTATTTTGGGAAATATGGTTTATATTATTACATATAGGTGTGGTGAGTAGGATTGCTTTATTTATTAGCTTAAAAAGGTAGATGTAACAAAATAATTGTGTTCTGAATCAGTTTAAAATATTTATTCATAAAAATTAGTCAAAAATGAAATTGAGTATAAGCAGAATATAGCAAGGCATCTTCTGTTTTGGTTTGTCTGGGGGTGATATGGAGTTATCAAGCAAGTTGCCTCTGGTAACCTCTGGTAAGTCCCAAGATCCAAAGTGTAATTCTCCATTTTAACTCCCTAATATTTCCCTGCAAATTACACTGGAGAATTTGGTGTCTTATCAACATGACAACCTCTATTGGATAACCTTGTCTGATCCTATCACTTATTGGCAAAATAACATTGGAGTCGCAGGATTTTACACGTTAGTCATTCCTGAAATAAAAATTAAAGCCATACTAAAATGCGAGCTCCAACCTAGTAAAAAATTTAAAGGAAATGTTTAAGGAGGAAATTAAAAAATTAAACTTATTTACTGATAGTCTTGATTTTATTTATGGAATGATTCGTTGTTCATCTCAACATCACCCATCAAATGCCTTTTGGCTGAATCTATTTGAGCTGCTAGCCCCGTTGTCTCCCTCGCGGCTATTTTTAGTCTCGTCACGCAACCCTCTGGAGCGTTGCGTGACGAGACTAAAAACTTAAACGGCTGCGAGGGAGACTACCAGTCCCGTGATTCAGTAATCAAACATCCTAACATTGATATTCACATTCTCCACACTGTTCTTGTTACATTTCCTAAGGTGCTGACAAGGGGAATTTGTCTAACAATCAAAGGCTTCTCTGGTTGGTGATCATTTCATTTATTCTTGTCACCTCACTGTTTGATGTCAGGGTGTTATTGTAGGGAGAAATTAGCTGTTGGTCACTCATAGGGGTCAGGGGTTAATTAGACTTTGGCAGGGTTCGTACAGGTCATGGAAAACCGGAAAAGTCATGGAATTTCAGAATTTCATTTTCCGGGCCTAGAAAGTCATGAAATCTAGGTGTGGATCATGGAAAGTCATGGAAAATCAATATGCTCTCTACGAGTGAAAGGCAACAAGACCCAAAGTTGAAAAGTTAACTGACGAGTCCAAAAGTCAGATTTAATTTCATTAGAAATAAACAGAAGCACGTATTGTGAGAATGTTTGCAAACAGGTCATGGAATCTTTCAAAATGTCATGGAAAAATTCATGGAAAGTCATGGAATTTTAACAGGTCAAAAGTGTACGAACCCTGTTAGGGCAGTCCCTTTTTAGGCAACGTTCATCACGCAAAAAATTGATGGAAGCACGTCGCGCTCAACTCCTTATTTGCGCCTCAGTCCTGGAGAGTTTCGCGCA